TTGAAGGGGGGAATCCCTAATTAGTCACCTTGAATGATATGAATGTTATGGAGGCAGGGTGTCTATTATTTGTTTCCCACAAAATGGAGCCCCAGAACCCACATGGGGAGTGTGATCAACAATATGTGAAAAGTGTGTGTTGTGTGTGGGGGGAGGAGGGGGAGGGGGATGAGAGGAAGGTGGATGTAATGTTCTTTAGAAAGATACCACCCTAATACAGCAAACAGATACATAAACCTTTTTTAATGACAGTGGCATATTTCACTTCAGAAAGGTGATAAAGTACAGGGATAGGGATCAGTTAGAGCAGTGGCTCTCAACCCTCCTAAAGCGATGACCCTTCAATACTTTTCCTAATGTTGTGAAGACCCACCAAGCATTCAGTCATTTTCATTGCTTCTTGACAGCATCAGTGACAAGTGAAGATTTTTTTATTTAGCAAGCGGCCCATGGAGATCTAGCAAGTGGCACATGGAGATCTAGCAAGTGGCACATGGAGACCTAGCAAGTGGCACATGGAGATCTAGCAAGTGGCACATGGAGATCTAGCAAGCTGCCCATGGAGACCAAGCAAGCTGCCCATGGATATCTAGCAAGTGGCCCATGGAGATCTAGCAAGTGGCCCATGGAGACCTAGCAAGTGGCCCTGTAGACCTAGCAAGTGGCCCATGGAGACCTAGCAAGTGGCCCATGGAGACCTAGCAAGTGGCCCATGGAGATCTAGCAAGTGGCCCATGGAGATCTAGCAAGTGGCCCTTTAGAACTAGCAAGTGGCCCATGGAGATCTAGCAAGTGGCCCATGGAGATCTAGCAAGTGGCCCATGGAGATCTAGCAAGTGGCACACGGAGATCTAGCAAGTAGCCCATGGAGACCTAGAAAGTGGCACATGGAGATCTAGCAAGTGGCCCATGCAGACCTAGCAAGTGGCCCATGGAGATCTAGCAAGTTGCCCATGGAGATCTAACAAGTGGCACATGGAGATCTAGCAAGTGGCCCATGGAGATCTAGCAAGTGGCCCATGGAGATCTAGCAAGTGGCCCATGGAGACCTAGCAAGTGGCCCATGGAGACCTAGCAAGTGGCCCATGGAGATCTAGCAAGTGGCCCATGGAGACCTAGCAAGTGGCCCATGGAGATCTAGCAAGTGGCCCTGTAGACCTAGCAAGTGGCCCATGGAGACCTAGCAAATCGCCCATGGTGATCTAGCAAGTGGCCCAGTAGACCTAGCAAGTGGCCCATGGAGATCTAGCAAGTGGCCCATGGAGATCTAGTAAATAGCTCATGGAGATCTAGCAAATCGCCCATGGAGATCTAGCAAGTGCCCCAGCAGACCTAGCAAGTGGCCCTGTAGACCTAGCAAGTGGCCCATGGAGACCTAGCAAATCGCCCATGGAGATCTAGCAAGTGGCCCATGGAGACCTAGCAAGTGGCCTATGGAGATCTAGCAAGTGGCCCATGGAGATCTAGCAAGTAGCACATGGAGACCTAGCAAGTGGCCCATGGAGACCTAGCAAGTGGCCCATGGAGATCTAGCAAAGTAGCCCATGGTGATCTAGCAAGTGGCCCATGGAGACCTAGCAAGTGGCCCATGGAGATCTAGCAAGTGGCACATGGAGATCTAGCAAGTGGCTCCTGGAGACCTAGCAAGTGGCCCATGGAGATCTAGTAAATAGCCCATGGAGATCTAGCAAGTGGCCCAGTAGACCTAGCAAGTGGCCCATGGAGATCTAGCAAGTGGCCCATTCAGACTTAGCAAGTGGCTCATGGAGACCTAGCAAGTGGCACATGGAGACTTAGCAAGCGGCCCATGGAGATCTAGCAAGTGGCTCATGGAGACTTAGCAAGCAGCCCATAGAAACCTAGCAAGTGGCCCATGGAGACCTAGCAAGCTGCCCATGGACCACTGTTAATTGTATGGTATTAATGATATTTCTAGGCTGGACTCGGACCTCTAGCTCTTGATGATCCCCATTTTTAAACTTGTGGCCGGAGTAAACTTAGTTGATTAGCTTCTAGATCCTTCAGGGCTCGTACAGTGTTTATAATATGGTTTATAAATCATCTCAAGAGCCACAGAACTCCACTACAGTACGGTGAAAAAAAAAAGTGGTCCTCATCTCTTGTCACAGAGAAACAACAACAACAACCACTGGGTTGCATTTTCCACAACCATTCAACTGTGGAGTTTTTACTAGTTTTAAACTAACATTTAAAAAAAAACGATGCTACCAAACGTACCTATATCCAGGTACGCAGATCTTGTGTAATTTGGATAAAAGCAAATGTTAGAAGAATAGCTGTTGAATGAATCTGTATTTTTTTTTTTTTTTTTGCTGTAATTCATACTAATTCCTAGCTTAATTGAACATTTCACATAATCCACTTGACATACCCTTTTCTGGACAGATGTAAAAGCAGAGCACGATGATTTAGTTACCGCTAGCCAGCTTGACAAATTAACATGTGTCTCAGTGTGACGACACTATTCCACGCTTCATTATGATTGTTAAGTCACCAATCTTTAGTTACCTATCTCATTATTGACAGCTTCTGCTCCGCCATATTGAAGTTACGCAGAGTTATCTCCCGAGTCCCGATCATCATCATCATGTTGTAGGTCCTTTGCAGAACGTCGCTCTCATCACAGTGTGCCTGAAAGAAACTCGGTCTCTCGTCAGTTCTCCCACCTCATGCACTTCAATACTCAAGGAGTCACTTATATCCTGTGCCCATCTTCGTGTCGGTTGGCCCCAGCCCCTCCTTTCTGGTACCATGACTTCTGCTATAATTTTTGCCAATCCGTCATGGCGCTTGATATGACCAAAAAATTGCAGCTTTCAAGAAAGGATGCTGTTTATTAGCCAATCTTTCTCGATGTTCAGATGTTTTAAGATGCCAATATTCCTCATCTTCTTTGTCCAAGATATTCTGAGAATCTTTCTATAGCATTTCAGCTCAAAAGCCCCTATTCTCTTTCTTAAGGAGTAGCAGTTGGACAGTTCGTGGTGATTAGTATATAACGTAGTTTAATGGTCATATTTGCGCATTAAAAATGGCTTTAGACAGTAGGCGCAGGGTGGTTCCATAGCTTTTATATAGATGCGGGGCCCGGCTGGCTAGCGTAGTTGGTTAAAGCTGACTTCGCGGCAGCCGGGTGACGAACTCCTTGGGGTCCGGGTTCACGCCCGGGGTTAGGCAGAAAAGCCACATTTCTCCCAGATTTACGGTACCTATAGTGGAATCAAGGCCGAAGGGTTGCGATATCTATACTATCGAGCCAAAGGGTTAACAACTCACGGTTTCTGGATGCTTTAACAAAAAACACCCAAAAAAAAAAACCAACAAAAATAACCACACACACAAATACACAAACATTTTTTTAAAATATAAAAAATACAGACAAAAAATATAGATGTGGGGGGGGGGAGTGTGGTTCTAAAATGACGCAGTGCCTCACCACCCCCCAAAATGGAGACACGATGCCTTGCTATGTGTGGGTTTTGCTGGTCACTAGTGATCAAGGCATATGGTGCTATGAATTTTACTTTAAAATGAAAAATTCAATGTTAGGTCAAGATACGAAAAAATTAACTCGGCTTGTTAGGTACTGGTCAGTAGTGGTGGTCAAGGTCTATGGGGTATGGTTGTTGTCAGCAAAATAAGGCTGATAACGGCACGTCGACAACTGAATGACGGACGGACTATGAGTCTAATCAATAGGACTTCGACAGACGTTAAAACCGAGGTTTGAAATATAGCAGGACATACGGCCAGCGGGATTTACTAATATTCTTTATGAGTTTTTGATAGACATTATCACCTATGCATTGGGGGAGGGGGACTAATGAGAGCCGGAGGATTTCTGGGCACTACACATCTGGAGGCCATCAACTCATAGACCCTCTGTCAGATCTGTTTGTGTTCATGTGAGCCATTATCCGGGACGCGTGGCAGGAGTCATGCTTGAGGGTCTGTACAACTAGCATAGGGCAAGATGGCGCCTGAGGTGAGGTACGGAGTCTTTCTTAATAAACATTGCAAAAGTCTTGACTTTCCCTCAGGCCTGTGAAATCACCACGCCACATCTACAAATTCTACAGACAGGAGTTATTCACAGCATGGCTTTTTGGATCACAAACTTTCTGTACCAGTAGTTTGCTAGAGTAAAAATGAACATTCATCTCAGCAAGTCAGTCACGTTAGTAGAAGTCGAACAGGTCAATGCATAGGCTGCCAACTCTTCTGAGTTTAAGTAACTAATGTTGCAGAAGAACGTGTCCCCAACAGCCGGCATAAGTGATTAGTGATTACTGATTAGAAAGGATTATCATCACAGCACTCCGGACAGATCCATAGGAGCTCCGATCTCCTCCTCAAAAGCTTCACAAGTGTAAAACGACTGATGGCGCCTGTTCTGTGTTGGTTAATGAAACGTCTTGTCCCCTTAGTGAAATGTTCATTACATGCAGCTCCAGGCTGCACCCACATGTCCATCAATCTAGACGGATACGGAGTCAATAGCCGGCATGCACTATTTTACTGTCTAGAATGCCATACACACACCTCCCCCAAAAAAAATTAACCACACGTACTCATTTTTGTGACAAACGTATTCATGGTTAGGTTCAACTTGCCCTGTCTTGTTTCAGGTATTTTGATTTTTCTTTCTAAGAACTGTTCTCGCTTTTACTCGCTTCACGCACGATCAACAAACACAACTGGCGCCGTTATTCCTACACTGCAGTCAACTACAGCAAATTGTGCACAAAACATTACGTGGGAAAATAGCGCTAGTTAATATTGAACATCCTCTGTCTCCAAACAGTGCTTTCTATTTAACAACGGAATCGTGGAAACGTCATTTTCTGATTCATTTTCACAAATTAAGGCGCGGAGACTCTGATATATATACACTATAAAGAACATTTGTTTAAACAAATTAGAAGTGTCTCATTAATCTATTGTTTAGGGGGTTTGCTATCTACTTTTGCAAATACTTAATGAATAAAACAATGTGGTTTCGCTTGACTACCGTCTTATTCATGTCTTCGATGTGTGTCTACTGCCTAGATTACTACTACTACGATCCGACAGTTTGTGAGAATGTTCAGCCAGGATTATGGGTAAGAAAAATGTTCCCAAGATATGTTAATACGGCACCTACAATAAAAAGATGGCAGCGGAAACACTAGATATTATTACAACAATGAGCACCATGGATTCGAACCCCTCACCTATCATTGAGGTCATAGTCTCGCTGAGACAGACATTTTGAGATAATTAAATATTACAATTAAATTTCTTCAATATTTATCTATATTCACGCATACACACACAAGCACACACATACACACACACATATATCACAGGATACAAAAGGCAATAGAAAAATGTACGGCACACCGGATTTGTACCTGCTGCTTTCACTAGCAAAGCCTCGTTTAAGCTAAAATCGTTTCATGGCAAAACAGTCACATACAAGATGTCGCTGCATCATACCAGGTTTATATATTATATATGAGCATATCATCATTAAAGCTAAACAAATATGCTATTTAACTAGCAGAAATACACAACACTAGGCTTACAAATGTAACTTATAGACCATCTGTGAACTCTCACAACGTGTGAAAACGTTTAAATTGCTTTACTAATTACTGTACACATTTAACACTGTGTAAAGGCTTTACATTTTATAAATATAACTTAATTTGTCAACGATTATACACAATATTTAGCATAGAGAACAACACAGAAATACGTTGTCTTGCATTTACTTATAGATATATATACACACACATATATATATATATATATATATATATATATATATATATATATATATATATATATATATATACACGCACTGATTAGCCTATCAATATCTCCACAATGCACATTATTTTTTTTAACGATTAGCTGTGTAAACTGTTTTTCTTTTCCATATTCATTCCTTTGTTTAGCTATGTCTACAGCTATGAAGACTTCAAGGATATACATTCTTTAAAAGTACGCATTTTATTTTTGCTCACATATCTTTGTCTCGCTCTGTTTCTCTTAAATTAACAATCGCATACACAATGGGTTCAATGCTCTACAATGCTTTTCCCCATGTATTCTGCTATTGACCCAGCCTGTTATTGATTCCAGTGATGTTGTCTTGTCTACCTTTGGCGGACAAATGTTATTCTCACGAGGATACCCGTCTTCTGAAACTGCTCATGAAATTTCAGCTGACTCCGAAACAACGGATCTAGCGAACCTAACGACGATTCCGAAACAACGGATCTAGCGAACCTAACGACGATTCCGAAACAACGGATCTAGCGAACCTAACGACGTTTCCGAAACAACTTATCTAGCGAACCTAACGACGATTCCGAAACCAAACACACGACCTTTAGAGCAAGAGGTTATCCATCATTCTGTTTCTGTAAATTACAACACGGCATCATCAAATGTTTACCAATATCCTGAACAAATAATGAAATGTTACGAATGCGTTGTCAAGAGATATGGGTACATCGCCTCATAGGGGGTTATAGGGTATCAGGAAAAAAAAGGGGGAGGGCGATTACCTGTTAACTTAAGTCGCATATTACACACTTAAACAAGGCCTAAACTCCTCGCGAATACAAATTGGTTTACTAACAAAGACTGCACACATATTTAAGAAAAGTGCAAAATGTTGCTTATATGTAAATTGACCTGTTTTTATAAAATTCTAAGAATTAGCTTGAGAATAGAACACTTATAGTTATATCTGTAGACCTTACTAGAGGATGCCATAATTTTATACCAAGAAGACCATGGAGAGATAATGTCCAAACAGATCTACAAACACTTGGTGTCAACAACTGGAAAGAGAGGGCCAACCAGAGAGATGAATGGAGGCGGGTGACATCTGCAGCAATGAACTTTAAAGGCTTGGAATGCTGAAGAAGAAGAAGATAATTTTAGATATTTTAAATGCCTGAAATGCGTCAACGGATATTTTCATTGTAGCATTGTTTGTTGGCGAACAACCAGAGCTTTCCGCGACAATTTACAGCCAGTGAACGCGAAGAAGAAGAAGATATTACATTGTATGATTACAGGTTGATATTTGAAAGTTAGAGCATATTTTTGTCTTGTGGGTTTTTTTTTTTTTTTTAGTTATTTTCATTTTTGTAAATGCCATGAATTCGCAACAACATCTAACATTCATGAATGAAGAATGTAAATCAAATATTATGAGAATCAACATCGAAAAGATAGAAGTAATGTCAATAGGAAGAATGAGGATGTACGTCCGCTTGGCTAGTGCTGTCGCCACGGACTGTGCAGGTTAGGATTTTATTTTAGCTTCTGACCTGCCACTAACCGTGAAAATGGTCTCCCACTCACTGCTTTAATGAGGGAAGAATCTAATAGAAGCATTTTCTAAAATCACTGGGAATACATTTATACATGTAGAGTGTCTTGACTGTAAGGTCCAGGAGTTGGCGTCTGTTGCTTAGGGCTTTATCATTCGCAGTTACAATTCAGACATTTGATTCAACTGTAAGCGAGTGACGACAGAACGTTTTTGTATTGATTTCGACAACGGTATTTTCTTTTACTTCTTCTTTGCGTTCGGTTTCGTATGCTCGGGTAAGACCGTCAGGTGGGTTGCCTCTATGAACTTGCATGTCAGCTGCAGGTCCTTCATGGTTCCCCATAGCTTGCTCTGCACACTTCGCTCTTGAGGCCAGGTTTCGGCTATCCTCCGAATACAGGTCCTAAATTATCGAGGCCGGAAATATACACTAACAGGGCCTTAGTTATATATTAATTGCGGACCTCTTTCCGGCGACAATACCGCCACTGCAGAGAGTATCCCCGGCGCCGCTACGCGCGGCGTGGAGGGAAGACCAAACTAAATGTCTGGGACTCACAAGCAAATAAATTGAAGGAAGCTGCAGGATATGCGGTAGCTGCTGCTCGTGAGTCTCAGACATCTAGTTTTGCGCCCCCCCCCCCCCCCCCCATCGTTTCTGCGGTACGCGGTGTAGTCACTGGAAAGAGATCAAAATGACTGAGGCCCTGTTAGGGTTTTCTTAGGCTCGATAATTTAGGACCGTTATTCGGAGAATAGCTAAGGTTTATATTCGAAGTTGTCGGTAGTGTGCAGGTCTGCAGAATGTGCTCAGATGTTTGTGGTCCTGTCTGACAGGCACACTGTGGGGACTGTACCCTCTTTATTTTATGCATGTGGTAGCTGAGCCTGCAGTGTCCTGTTCGTAGACGGGAAATTGTTGTATGTCTTTCTATTGAATCTGATAATGGGGTCTTGTGGGTGTTTATTGTTGGTCTGTTCTCTCCACAATTCCCTGTATTTTCCTTGATAAGTGTTTTGATTTTTAGTAAAGACAAAGAATGGGTGTGTTGTTTCTCCGCTGTTTCTATTTTTTTGCAAGACTATCCGTCAACTCATTACTGTTCTATTCTTTTGCAAGACTATCCGTCAACTCATTATGCCACAAAGAGCAGGGATCCACATCAAAACGATTTGTGTGTCTGTGTGTTTGTCTGTCTGTCTGTCTGTCTGTCTTTGCGCGCGCGCGCTGGCAGGTCAGTTCTCTCTCTATGTTGTCTCGTTGATCCGTCTGAGTCGCCTGGAGGACTGACATGCAGTCACACAGAAAAACAATGTGGCTGTTTTTAATTTTCTTTTCTCAAGCACTTTGGGTGTATCAATAACGATATAAGTGTCGGTCCTTGAAGGCCCTATAGCAAGCAGCCGAACTTATCTATTAAAATCACAAACTATTAACAAATGCTGGTGTGTTTGTAATGTATGTGAAAGTATGCAACTAACGTTATCTGTATTCAAGGTGCGGGACACAATGGACTGCACAATCGGCCACCAGTGTGGCTTTGACATGGAAGTGGTTCAGTCGATTCAGTGTAACTCCAGCCAAGTCTGGTCCAAGCTAGCTTCCGCTTGTGTTTGGGAATGGGATCCAGACAGGGATGATTGCAATGGTCGTCCACATACAGCTGTTCACAGTAAGTAGTGCTTGCTATCTGGTAGACAACTATTTCATATCAATCGATTAACTATGTAGTAAGCTTTGTTACAAACCCGAATAGTGCAAACTAGTTTTGAGATAGGCAAATTTTTTATTTACGGTTTGGGATCCTGGCAGGAAGAATGGGGCACACCGAAAAATTAGGACTGTCCCGGTGCAAACAGTGTGATCGGTCATTCTAGTCACAAGCTTATGGCAGTTGATCACATATTCATTGAGAGAAGTTCCATGGAGTTCACATTTCTTGCAGTGTATTAAATTATGTTCAGTATTATTATTTATCTGGCGTACCAAACAAAATGTCTTCTACTGTAATAAAATAAGCCATTCCGAGCTGCAGTCTTAGCAATTGCATATAGCACGGGATTCTATAATTAAGATCATTCTAAGCTTAGTGGCTTTAGAATCATCACCTTACAAAACAAATTTGGGAAGGTCTTGGAGAAGATAGTTGCTGTAAAGTTACAAGAATTTTTGGAAAGTGGAAAGCTTCTCCCAAGAGGTCTGGGAAGTTACAGGCCAGGAAAGGACACTTGGGCAAATGCGGCCACTTTTGCTTTTGATGTCCAGGAAGGGTTCCAGAACAGACAGGAAACTGTGGCGGTAGGACTGGATCTCGAGGATGCTTATAACAGAGTGAGATACGACTTCTTAATGACTGCACTGGGGGAGAAGGAGGTCAATCATTGGCTGGTGAATTGGGTTGCAGCTGTCCTGTATTCACGTCGGGTTGCTCTCCGACTGGGCTCATGGACCTCTGAACCACGCACTTTGGCCCCAGGACTGCCACAGGGATCCGCCATCTCGCCTGTGCTCTTCAGCGTGTCTACGAGCAAGATTGCAAGCCTTGAAGCACCATGAGTTGGAAGGATACTGACTTTTGCTGATGATATACTTGCATATAGGCAGGGGGGGAGAGAGGAAAAAACAGCCCGGGAGCTACAAGCGACAGTAGACAAAGTGACTGAGTGGTTTACAGAAAGGAGGGCTGTCGTCCACCCGGAAAAGGCGTCTGTTTTGTGGTGTTCTCTGGACAACAGAATCGTTAAAACTAATGTCCAAAGTCTTACGATAGATGGTAGAGACGTCAACAGAGAGAGCAAACTGAAGTATCTAGGAATTACATTTGACAGAAGCCTGTCATTTAGGGACTATGTGGAGAGTGTTGTAACGAGATGCCAAAAAGGACTTAGTGCACTTAAGACTATAGCTGCAATTGACATAGAGCAGAGAATGCCTTTCACACTATATCAGCACATGATCATGTCAGTTGTGGATTATGGCCTTGGACTGCTTACCGTCTCAAAGAGTCAGATGGACAAACTAGAGCGCACACAGAACGCGGCTATGCGGGTCATTCTGGGTTGCACCAGAGACACCCCAGTGGTGTGTATGCGATACATCCTTGGTTTGCCGACGGTTGCAGGTAGGCACAAGGTGCTGCAGGCGAAGTCATATCTCAGGGTAGCTGCAGACACAGACAACCCTCTGCATGAAGCTCTGGGTGCAGTTAAGGGTCAGCGGCTCATAAGAGGGAGGTCATGGATGGCTCAGGCAGAAGACACAATCAGACAGGTTTGCATCTTTGAGAACATTAGGCGAGGAGAGGAGTGGGTCAAAGTTCCACCTGAGCAGTCAGACTTGTGTAGAGTCACGCTGAGCCGGGAGTGCAGAGACTGGCCAGCAGGTGCCACAAAGGTGGATATTCAGCAATTAATTCAAGATAATGCTCGCTCAAAGGATTTGATCATTTACACAGACGGTTCAGTGTCAAGAGGCAAAAGAAGTGCTTGGGGCTTTTTAGCAAATGTTAATGGTCGACGTTTGGTGCAGGAGAGCCTAGCATATGATACCACAACATCCAGCTTAAGAATGGGGGTGGAGGCGGTCACTGCAGCTTTCCGCTGGCTAGAGAACACGACACACACATCGTGATTGTAACTGATTCAGAAAGCATGCTGAGGAAGATCGAAACAGGTATGCTTCGTGCAGAGTGGCATGCTGCGGTGAGGAGGACACGAGTGAGGAGTATTGTCTGGATTTTTTTCACCGGGTCACGCCGGTGTGTCAGGAAATGAACAGGCGGACAGACTGGCTGGCTCTGCACAACTTGGTGGAATACTGCTACATGATAGGGCAGACATGGTTAGTGCCTTGTGGGAGAGCGTGTACAATTCGGAGGAGCAGATGGATCACCACAGTCTGGTGAGATTGATGCAGATGGGGGTGACGAGAGGTTCTGGCAGAGGTTCGAGGCTCAGAGGAAAGGCATGACGGACGTTTAATCAGAAAGCTGCTGGCACCATTAGTATCGGAACTCTTCGCTGGCTGCTGAAGATGGGGACGGGGCGCTTATGGAAATGCCCCGAGTGCTGTGATGTCGGTTCTTGAATCAAATCTTTAATTCACGTGTTATTTGACATTTTCAAGTTGGAGTTGTAAACAGTTTGTGAACATGTCTTCTCTCTAAGCTTCTATTCCTAATCCCTATCCATTTTTTCTTAAATTACTGATTTAAAAGCATCTTTACTTATAACTTAGGTCGTGGGTTCGCGTCCTGACGGAGCCATTTTTTTTTCAGAAATGACCTTGATTCCCAGGTCGACCCAGCCTTGAGGGGTGTTGACCACATCACTTAGCAAGTGCCGATTGGTCTATAAAAAAGGTCTAGCCCTACACTCCCAATGCTAGATAAAGGCATGGAAAAGGGACCTTACTTTATTACTTATAGCTACATATATTTTATTATTATTTGTATCCGATTTTTTTTTCATGTCATTTAATTACCACATTTGCTGACACCCACATAATTAGTAATGTGTATCCTCTTTGGAAAAAAACAGTATCCAAGAAGAGCTATGTTCTTCGAAGAGCCATAACCGAATACACGGAGTCCGTTAAAATATTCAGCCTGGGGGAAAAGGGGGGGAGGGGGGGGGGGATGTTGTCATTAACCACTTTGGAATGTACATTCCTATTCCTAACCTTTTATCTTCTCCTTTCGAACGGTCTTTATAAATAGTCTCACTATCTTTGGATCTTTATTGTATATAATTATATTTGCCCGGCTCTCTAGCGTAGTTGGCTAAACCGGATTGCGCTGAGACCGGGTGACGAACTCCTTGTGGTCCGGGTTCAATCCCGGGGGTAGGCAGGAAAGCCACATTTTCTCCCAGATTTACGGTATTTAAAAAAATGGAATCAAGGCCGAAAAGTTGCGATATCCATAATACCGAGCCTAAGGGTTAACAACTCATGGCTTCTGGATACCAAAACAAACCAACAAACAAACGTATATAATTATTGCTTGTTTCAAAATGTCTGGTATTGTTTTCTTATTTTGAATAACTGCTAGTCGATAGTTAATTTCTGGTCTCATAATTTCCTATGGTGGCAAAACAGGGACGTACTTCGGCGGACTGGATTGGGGTGGGGGGATATGCCGTAATATCAAAGAATACACAACTTTATTTACGCAGTAGAATCATATGTGCGTAAATATAATCCGTCGCATTATATTATTTTGAAATGTTGGCAGAAATTAATTACTGTGATGAAAAGTATACTAAGAAATTTTATGAGAATCAATCGGCACGAAACAGTGTAAAATAGACAAATTCAACACTTCCATTGTGGGGAAAACAAAAACAGACCCACTGCTTCCCCTCAAACATGTCGTAGGAATCGACTACCTGGGAACTTCCTTCGAAGTCGGAGTGCATCAACCCGAGCCGCAAGGAACAAACAATTGTACACAAATAAGCCAACAAACGGATGTACGCACACAACTCAGGCCCTGGCAGACAGTGAAATTCTAAATGGACAAACAACTAGGACATTCGGCCGGAGCATACAGCAGGTGAATAAAGAAGAAATCAAAGAATAACGAATATTTCCTAAAGGAAACAAAAAGCAAAGACTAGAGTAGGCAGAGGCTAGTGGACTAGAGACTATGTCACGATCTAAGTCACGAAAACCAAAGACAAAAAGGTCTAGCCCTATATTCCCAATACTAGATAAAGGCATGGAAAAAGGGACCTCAAAATAATATCAAAATAATGTATAGTTTCTCTTGTAGATGCGCCCAGGTGGGCAAGATGTCTTCTATTGTTCATGTGTAACCCGTATAGTTTTTCCTGTAGATTCGCACATGTGTGCTACATGTCTTCTATTGCTCATGTACGGTTCGTATAGTTTTTCTTGTAGATGCGCTCATGTGGGCCATGTCTTCTATTGTTCATGTATCGTACGTATATTTCTATGTCGATTCGCGTCTGAGTTTTCTATCGGGCAGGCAAAATATGTGCAGACTTTTAAAACATGCTCTAAAATTTGCTTGTGTGAGCAAAAATCATATGCAGCAGCTTATCAAGACCCATTCGATGTATGTCTGATCTAAGTCTGCTTCTGAGTCTGAAAAGCTTGGTCTGGATATTTTCCAGACTGTTTATAATGTCGTGTTCCAGTCTGAAATATTTATTCTCCCTTCTTGATTTTAACTTCACTGATTGCCTTTAGGGTGTCTTTGCTTCTGTAAAGTTCTGATGCAGGTGGAACTGTTTTAGGTTCCCTGCAGCCTTTACAAGCTTGTCTGCCTTTTCATTTCCAGGGAAACCACGAATGGTATGTATGCACTGAAGGTCTAGTTCATTTCTCCTGGGTGTCCACTTATCACGGTGGTTGCTCAGTCCCCAAAGCTGCCTTACTATTAAGACTACAGGTAACGTGTCTTACAACAAAGTAAGCTGTCTTTGTTCTGTTTTTATTCCTCAGCTGAAGATGATCCAATATGCCAACACAACGGTCAGGTGTCTGACCCAAAGAGTTGCCGACATTTCATCCAGTGTCTGAACGGCAAGAGAGTGCAAAGAATTCAATGTCCTCACGGCACAGCCTTCTCGGACAAGACACGTCAGTGTGAGTGGTACGACGAGGTCAAGTGTGGCAGCAGAGGGCTGTGAGCTCTAGCGTCAAGATTATCTTCCCTGTTTGCCAATCCTCTGTTTCGTGATGCTTTGAATAAATAATGTGTTCACTTCTATGTCTTATTAGTTCATTGTTTACAAGAAATTAACTCTTTCTGTCAAAGACAGTTATTGCTGTCATTTTTCTACCCAGCGGATTACTTTTGCGTAGCCTTGCTTCGGCTATGAAAACACTGAAATAGATCCACTGCCTTCTTTGACTTAGGGATAACTTGCTAACAGTCTAAACCACTGTAGTAGGGACGGAGAGACGGAGGAGGAATATATATTTATTTGCCAGATGGACAGCAGTCTGTCCAATAGTTTGATATTCTCCAGTTACAGAGCAGAGACATGTATACTTCTGGTGGCATGTTCTTTCCCGAAGATACAAATCGTTGCAAATATAGAAACAATGTCTTTCTGACTGATGCTATGTCAGTTCCATAAGCAATTTTTACCAAAAAAGGCACGCAGTTTGTAGACTAGATGCATCAGTTGATTGGCCTCGGCTGTTCGGTAGAACACTCGGTCTTGTAGTGGACTCCAGGGCATTGGGGCGTGGAAGACAATGTTATAGCGGACAGAAACGACAGTGACACGATACAAACAAGCAGTGGCTGATATGTTCAAATTTGTCGGTGTAAGAAACATTGTGTATCCCTGCAACTTGGCACCAGAATATGCTAAGCACGTCCTCCGGCACTCTAGAATGTATGCTGCTGACAGAGACGCAGACTTATTTAGCCTCAATGAAGACAAACGGTAGGTCCCACAAGGAGATTTGGACTGCATTAAAGCTTTGTTTTCTGACAAAAGGATCGAAGAAAAAGAAAAAGACTTAAAAAGCACCAAGCACAATAAGAAAGAACGGTCGAAAGTAACAATGAACCATTGGTACAGTTTGGAACTAGAGTAAAACACTTGCTACATTCATACTGACCGCGAGTGACGTTTTCCCAGTCTGAGATGCCACCTGAAGATTTATCACCCTGAAGATTACTAAAATGTCAGTCTGGATGGCAGGCCGTCAAGACAAATCCCAGATACCCCTCTGAACAAGTCATTTATATATGGCATCTAGCACCGACAGCACAACTGTACAAAATGGCAGTCTGGGCTGGTGTGAATAATTTTCACGGCATGCTCTAGTGCTTGGATCTCTGCTGTCTACTTGAAACAGAATTTACCCGTGGCTGCGGTGCTTGGGAATGTGATAGAGATGCCAGCACCTCGTTCTCAACCGTACTGTAAATCTACTGAGAAGGTAATATTGGCCCAGTGAGTCAACATTATACTGTATTGAATAAAAGAGGACCCCCAAAAATGAAATTTTTTTCACAGGAACTCGTGTCGGCGTAAATCACAGAAGCATTCACAAGACCTCGTGATTAGAAAGGATTATCATCACAGCACTTCGGACACACAGGTGCTCCGATCTCCTTCTCAAAAGCTCCACAAGTGTAAAACGATTGATGACGCTGTTCTGTGTTGGTTAATGAAACGTCTTGTCTACTTAGTGAAATGTTCATTTCTTGCAGCTCCAGGCTGCACCCCCATGTCCATCAGTCTAGACAGGGATATGGAGTCATGTCCTTTGGTGTGCTCCTCGTTACGTTAAGTGCAGCGCATGGCATTGACAACATAACTGCTGTCCAGTACTGGGGCAGCCATGGCAACTGCAGTGTCAGCAAGATAGTCTGCACGCTCGTTCCCTTGAACACCCGAATATCCTGGCACAAAGATGAAATTTAGGGCGTAAAGTGCTAAGAGTTTCAATCCATTTTTGCCTGATAAAGCCAGATGTGGTACGCTAAGATGTGGTAGCTGGTCCTCAAAACCGCAAACGATATGTCCAGGCTTGCCACAGGGATCACCGCTATCACCAGTCTTATTCAACGTTTATACGGTGATGATCACTGAGCAGCAGTTGAATGGAAAGGGAAGGACTTTGTCATTTGCTGATGACATTTTGATTTATCGACGAGGGCGTGATAGACAGGAGATCGCCAGCACTATACACAAAGAACTCGATCGAATTGCCGCCTGATGTGATGGTTCCAATGCCTATGTCAATCCTTCGAAGGCATCAGTGTCATGGTTCTCTTTGAACAATCACATTGTCAAGTCGGACTTACCAGAAGTGAAAATGCGTGATAATGTATTGATCAGAACCAACGTTATGACGTTTCTCGGGGTGAGGTTCGATCGCAGCTTGTCATTCAGGGAACACGTTGACCATGTGATAACAAAAGCACGCAAAGGTCTATCTGCAATGAGGATTATGGCTGCTTCCAATATTGAGCAAAGACTTCTAATACTTCTATTCTACGGTCTGGTCCTTTCCCCCATTGAATACGCTCTGGCCATCCTCACTGTCAGTGCTACCCAGATTGAACGACTCGAAAAGGTGCAAAATGAAGCCATGCGCATTATTTTAGGATGTACAAGAGACACATCCTGTGGAGCAATGAGGTATCTACTTGACTTTCCAACAATGAACCAAAGGATCAGGATGTGGAGGGCGCAGGCATATCTCAAAATATGTGCTGATAAGAAACACCCACTGCATCAAGCGCTTTTGACTGAAGAGGGGGAAATCGTGGCTAGGTCGGGCAGAAGATGTTATTAGGCAAATATGCAGCCTAACCGACATCATACCTGGTGCAGAATGGATACCTGTGCCTCAGGCGTTTATTTGTACATTTTCCTGTATTGTCACACTCAACAGGCGATGTAGAGAAGAGAATCCTGTTGCTGTTAATGCAGAGATCAATGCTCTCATCGGTGAAAATTCAGACGAAGCAGATGCAATAATCTATACAGACGGATCCGTTATACGACAAAGAAGAAGCGCATGGGCATTTACAGCACGCTCAGCGGGCAGAACAGTCAAAGAAGCCAACGGCGCCTTCTCCATGACAACCAGCAGCATGACGATGGAGGTGATGGCAGTGACGCAAGCGTTCACCTGGCTTGAAACACAAAAATACACCCGCGTGTGTATACTCAGTGATTCAATGAGTATGATCTGGAGGGTTCAGGCAGGTTCAGTGCGAAGACAATGGCTTGAATCATTACAGAAGTCCACTGTGCGTGGAGTCACCTTTATTTTTGTTCCAGGACACAGGTGTCGATGGAAATGAAAGAGCTGACAGGTCAACCTATGGATCATGCTGATATTATCAATGCCCTCAGAGAAATGGGAAGGATAGAGGACTTTGGTGGCAGTGAATCCACATCACTCGCCAGAATGGCAGACTTGGGAATTAAGATCGGAACAGCAAAAAACGAGACGCACACCAGACGACTTGTTAATCAACATAGAACTGGTACTATTAGCCATCGGATGTTGGGGTTTATACTGAGGGGAGGATCTGAGCACCTATGGACATGTCCGGAGTGCAATGGGGATAACCCAACTAACTAACAAAGCCAGCCTGGATTTTTTTTTAAAGCATACTCATAGTCACCAAGAATGCATAACTGTGTGAACTTTTGAGTACCGAGCCAATCTAAAGCCCTTGTTACAACCAGAGTTTCCATTGTAAGCCGACTAGTTGTAACGGCAAAGGTGCCATTCTTCTCCTTGATGGTTTCCCCCTTTGAGCTTACTGTGAAGGCCCATGCACTTCCCTTGCCCCTAATTACTGAGCCATCTGTGTAAACTATAGCATCACTTTCATCTGTGTTTTCGTCCATCGGTGTTTTGAGTCAAGTGTCAACAATACCAGAAGCATTCACAAAAACTCGTGTCAGCATAAATTATGGAAGGGTCCACGAAAACTCTTTATTGTGGCATAAATCATGGAAGCACTCACAAGAACTCTTTTGTGCCGGCGTAAATCATGGAAGCGTTCTCAAGAACTCTTTTGTGCCTGCGTAAATCGTGGTGAAGTGTTTACAAGAACTTGTGTGTCAGTGTAAATCATGGAAGCGTTCACAATAACTTTTTTGTGTCAGCGTAAATCATGGAAGCGTTCACAAGAACTCGTGTGTCCTGTAAAAGTCAGTCCAGTGCGGTTAAGGAATTTTTAATTTCCTCACTTTTTTCTACTTTTGCTGCTAAGCTACATGGTGTGCGACAGTTTGCAATCCATTGCTTGATGGATACTACTATCATCTGTTCATGTCAATCTTAACGTCATCAATTCATTTTTGCCAGGGTATGTTTCTCAATGAATTTGGCGCCATGCTGTTCTCACGGTGAGTGACTATATTTCTCACTGTCTCAGATGGCTAAGTCCGCAGGCATCTTATTTTACAGGTTTTCCCTTTGGTGGAAACAACACTAGACAAGACAGGGTAACGAACACCATCACTGGAGAGAAAGTTGGAATAAGACCATGTCTGGATTATTCTGACAGACAAAGAATGAAATGGTTAAGCTAACTAGTGAGAATGCAGCCAGACCAGACCACACATGAGACTTTTACAGCAGAACGTCTGGGAGGAAGACCAAGAAAGAGATGGATGAATGGTGTAGCCGACATCTGCAAAAAGTTCAATCACTTGAACCACCCAAGAAGCGCAAAACAAATACAGAAAATCGCGAAACTGGGCTACAGCCTTGTTTCAGTGAGATGACAAAAGAAGAAGCATGTCAAATTCTGGCACTGGTAGCATTAATAAGCTGTTTATAATCTTATCTTGGCCGTTACACTTTTATCTGGATGTCTCAATAATGTCAATTGGTACAATCCACTAGTTGGTAAACATCTTGGTTTGCTTGTTATCCTCCCAAAAAATACTTCTAGTTCTTTAAACTATTTGGCTTGCTTTAAGCAAGAACCATTCAACCTAGAGTTAGCAGACTATAAATTCTACCAACAAGCCTTATTGCAATTTTAGTCTCATGTCTACTTTCACCTTATGCCTTTTAATGTTGAACTTGGGCTGTTGTAGTAGTAGTCTACTTTCCCTACTGTCAGACATGCACTGATCGTCTGCAAATGTGTGTAGATATTTTTCCACAGGCGTTAGGTTACTAAATTTCC